CACATCAGATATTTGCATTATAATTTGCAACCCAGTCGATTGTGCCACAACAGAATCAACAGATTAATTGTTCAGGCTACAAGTATTAGTGTTTTTGATCATCTGAAATCTCCATGCAACCAATGTTGTCTCTCTCTCCTGTGACCTAATAATCTCTTCAGTGGATGTGTAGGGTATGATCACAACCTCTTAGGAAAGAACATGATAGTTTACCGGCAAACATTTGCAGATTATCCATCTGATGTATTGTGTTGCATGGAGGTTTGTATAAAGGGAGCTCGAGCTTGTGTCTCTAGCTCAGCTGGTCTGACTGGTAAAGCAGTAACAGGAGTGGTTTGACTTCAGCCCGGCACAATACGCTCACACTCTCATGCGCATCAGCCAACCCACCCTCTCACACTCGCATTCTCACACACCTGGCCCAGAGGCACAACTGTCCCCCTTAGCCTCGAGAACCACATACACACCCAGTTTCTGATTGTCTAGCAATCACATCCTTCATCTTCAGCTATGTAGGATGTAATCCACACTTGTTCTCAAAGCCAAGATGTTATGCTGGAAAGATTTGCACATCTTGCACCTGTCATCATTAGTCTTCTTTACACAATACTCGGGCCAGATATGCAAAGCAAATATTGTGGTAACACAATGAAGGATGCTTTTTTGCTCTCAGTTTGTACTTCTAAAATCTGACGCCAACGTGTCTTCCTTTTCCTCCAGTCTCCATGTCTCCCATTGCACTTCGAGAGGAGACCGAAGCCAGTCCGGCAGAGGTGGCGCTGTGCCTGTCCACTCGCAAGGACCACAGCATGTACACATACAACCAGATGTACACCAATGACCCCGGTGCAGTGGTTCCTGCGGCTGAGCTCCCATCATGCACTGCTCTGGGCCAGAGTCCAGAGACCGAGCACATCCGAAGCACACACAACAATACGTACGTGCGCACTAAAATAAAGGTGAGGCTTCTGGAAAATGTTTACTTTTACTATGTTGATCTAAGATCTAGTTACTGCGGCAATAAGCTCATATTCAGCTGCGGAGCCACTGTGCCACCGTTGGACATAATTGATTTGTGGGTTATACTCCTATCACTTTACTAGTCTGAATGTTTACACTAGCACTAATTTCGTCTTTGTTTGTTATCTTGCTGCAGGTTACCACAGGTGAGCTTTCCAAAGAGGTTCCACCTATTGTTCCTAGTGTAACTACAAGTCCACCTGCTTCTATAGCGATACCTTGCTCCCCTCCTGCCGCTAAGTCGCCTTCAGTGCAGTCGAGTGGTGGTACTTATGTTTGCCAGGTGTGTCAAAAAGTTTTCCAGTTCCAGCGCATGCTAAACAGACACCTGAAATGTCACAGCGAGCAGAAGAGACACCTGTGCGACTTTTGCGGGAAGGGCTTTAACGACACCTTCGATCTCAAGAGGCATGTCCGCACACACACAGGTAAGAGCTTCATCTGTTTGTGATAAAATGGAAGTAGCCACAAATAATTGGGTGCTGATTGGATTCTGAGATGTGGATGTTTTGGAGGGGCGGGATTGAATCATTTTCACTGGAAGATTGAAAACATTATGAGTCAAAAAAATTTTTTTAATGTATAGATATCTATATCAGACTAAAGGTCAAAAACGCTTAGAATCATTAAGATTTATAAATGGTTTTTGAAAAAAGACCAAAGCTGCATTTCTTTGATTAAAAATACAGTAAAAACAGTAATATTGTGAAATAATATTAACATTTAAAATAACTGTTTTCTATTTGAATATATTTAAAAATAGAATTTATTCCTGTGATGCAAAGCTTAATTTTCAGCAGCCCGTCTTCAGTGTCACATGATCCTTCAGAAATCATTCTAATATGCTGATTTGGTGCACAAATTATCTTAGAATCATTAAGATTTGTAAATGGTTTTTGAAAAAAGACCAAAGCTGCATTTCTTTGATTAACAATACAGTAAAAACAGTAATATTGTGAAATAATATTAACATTTAAAATAACTGTTTTCTATTTGAATATATTTAAAAATAGAATTTATTCCTGTGATGCAAAGCTTAATTTTCAGCAGCCCGTCTTCAGTGTCACATGATCCTTCAGAAATCATTCTAATATGCTGATTTGGTGCACAAATTATTATAAATTATCATCGGTACTCAATTATTAATAATAGTTTGTATTATTATCAATACTGAAAACAGTTTTTGCGGAAATCATGATAAATATTTTTCAGGGTTCTTTAATGAATAGAAAATTCAAAAGAACAGCATTTATTTGAAATAGAAAACTGTTTAAACTTTACTGTTACTTTTGGTTAATTTAATGAATTCTTGCTGAATAAAAATAAAAACCCCAAACATTTGAAAGGTAGTATATAACAGTTCCCACATAAAATTAAGAATTTAACAATTTTAACAAGAAAATAAAAAATTTAACATTGATAATAAGAAATGTTTCTTCACTCTTAAAAATAAAGGTGCTTAAAAGGTTCTTCACAGCGATGCCATAGAAGAACCATTTTTGGTTCCACAAAGAACCATCTCTTTCTTACCTTTTTATAATCTGAAGAACCTTCTTTCGCCACAAAGAACCTTTTGATGAACAGAAAGGTTCATAAGATGTTAAAGGTTCTTTATGGAACCATTTAGACAAAAAAGGTTCTTCTGTGGCATCGTGAAGCACCTTTATTTTTAAGAGTGTTGAGCAACAAATCAGCATATTAGTTTAAAAAAACAATTTGAATACTTTTTTGTTATTAGAAGAAACAGTGTTATGTTATACCAACATGCAAAATCTCTTCACCTTTTTCGAACAAGAATATTCTTCTGTTCCTCCTGTAGGTGTTCGTCCATACAAGTGCAATCTCTGTGAGAAGGCCTTCACTCAGCGCTGCTCTCTGGAGTCCCACATGAAGAAGATTCATGGTGTCACGCAGCAGTACGCTTACAAGGAGCGCCGCAACAAGCTGTACGTCTGTGAAGAGTGCGGCCATACAGCTTCTACCCAGGATGCATTGCTGCACCACCTCCACACTGAACATCCAAACAGTGTCCTCCTGCAGGCCAAGGAGGCACGAAGACAGTCACCAATGATGAACGCTACCAGAGATGACACCTCCCAACCTGGTTCCCCTCTCTCTCATAATAGCGATGACACTGTAGGGTCAGGAGGGAGATAGAGAAAGGGATGTTTCCTAAAAATATATATATATATATATATATATATATATATAAAGGGATGTGATTAATGTGCATTCTGATGATTTATTGTTTCATTCAACAGATATGAGGGAAGAGGGAATTTAAAAAGGGAAAGTGAAGTCATGCAAAATGCTGTTTTAATAGCAGTACGCTGAGATTCAGTTTACACTTTTGCTGCAGAATCGGGCTGTACTTTTCCCTGTGAAACATACAAAAGCAGACGATAACGTCTACAGCATAAGTATGCACTACTTCAGTTTACATAATATTATTATTATTCAAATAGATGAGATGAAACACAACTCAGGAGAAATACACAATTCAATGTGACATTAAATAGTTGCATTTTTACTGTGTGGGATAGTGATTTTATGTAGTAGTGTTTCAACACTAAAATGAACTCTGCAGCGACTGATAGTTACATATCAGCAGTCCCTGAATGTTTGAAAAAGGGATTTAGAAAGGAAATTAATTTTGTGTTGTTGATTTACTACTGTATGTAATATATACTTGCATAAATTTATCATAAAAAGATTTCTATTTGTCCTGGTGTTATATTTTCCTGGGTATGTTTTTTGCTAGATTTTATACATTTACTTTCACATGTAAAAAGGTTTCACACCTTTAATACTTGTAATACTTGTGTTTTGGGGTTATTCTTTTTTTGTACTTTTTATATTCAAAAGCATCATATAGCCTATGTAATAACATTTTAATTTCTTGTCACTGTTAGATAAATTAAGTAGGCTCTGTGGCAGTCTATAACAACACACCTACACAATAAATGTTTTTGTTGATGGTTTAAAAAGAAGTGTGATTCATTCTCTTGTATTATTTCACAAACATACTATCAGAAACCCAGCTACTTGCTTAGAGCTTAATTATTGATTTTATATATAAAGTATGTTTTATGCATGATTGCATGCATGCAAACAGTTATGGAGGCAGATTAGACCAATAAAGTATTTTAGAATTTGCATGCAAGAGAGAATGAATAAGAGACAGTAGACGAGAAAGAGATGGGTGGATGTCAGTGGGTGGATGTTGGCGGATTCCAGATCCTTGTTTGGTCTTGTTCGTGGAATTCAGTGGCTGTTTCATTGTGGGGCCATCAGGCATAAAGGTGCCTATCCCTTTAGAACCGTTATTTTCAACAGCACCAACACATTCTGTACCACCCTTTCAAACTGTAACACTGTACAAGAATTTCTCGTTTAAAACAAACATAATTGAAGTGAGATTAAATGTGTTTATTAATCGAGCCCAAATTGGGGAAATTAACTAGTAGTTGTATATTACTGCAAAACATTCATCTAAACATCATCTCACCATATTGTATGTGTTTAGTCCTCATGCAGAATGTCATGTTTCACAGCGTTTTGAGCTTTACTAAAATGCACCATCAACCCTTTGAGCGGCGCTACTCGTGTATCCTTGGACGGAAATTACGCAACTACAATACTTTCGAAAGCACAGGTGGGGAAATGGTGGGCAGTTAAACTAAAGGTAAATATAGCATCCCAAAACGCCGCAGATAATGTACTAATAGTAATAATTTGCATGCATTTTTAAAGATGATCACTCTAGGATCTGACATAGTGTGTAATCCGAATTTTAGCACGTCGGTTGCAAGCAAATTACTAAACGTGCAAATGCTCATTTAGTTTTTAATGTACATACATACATAGCCTAGTATGTGTCCATTCTTGTGTAATGAGGATAAGTCAGTTGCATTACAAATATATATGCAACATGAATATCTTTGACTTTTTAGGATGTAAATTGCATGTTCAATGCAAATATGCCGACGGATCAGGTGTGTTTGGGTCGGAAGCGCCCTGTACCTTCATGCCCAAACCCTCTATTCTTGCAGTGGTTAACAGAGTTGCGTGGCAGCGCCAAAGAGAAAGGCTTGAAAACGCAGTATGTGTACCAGAAGGTGAGCGATTGTGTTGGTTTTAGTTTCAAATATGTGACCCTGGTAGTGATGTCCGGTTCGCGAACGAATCGTTCGATTTAACCGGTTCTTCTTAGTGAACCGGTTGAACCAGTTCACCAAATCTGACTGAATCATTTGAAACGGTTCGCGTCTCCAGTAAGCATTAATCCACAAATTACTTAAGTTATTCACTTTTTTAACATGGCTGACACTCCCTCTGAGTCGAAATAAACCAATATCCCGGAGTAAATCATTTACTCAAACAGTACACTGACTGAACAATAGTTTTGACCCATACAATGTATTTTTGGCTACTTCTACAAATATACCCCAGCGACTTCAGACTGGTTTTGTGCCCCAGGGTCACATATCGGATTTAACTGACTGTAAACACGTAAACAATCCCATTAGTAACTCATTAAACTTAGCGAATGCAATGTTGTGCTTTTACACAGGCCATAAACTCTGAAAAAATACCCTCTGCCGCTGAAAAACGGAAAGGAGGCGAAGATCCTGCTAAATTTCGGTGACGGGATCTGCAAGATTTTGGACGAGCGGCTGCAGAAGCATTATCGGGAAAACGGTGAGGGACTTCAGTGTAGTGCAGACGTAGATTTTCTCTGAAATGCTTAGAGCAGGGGTGCCCAAACTCGGTCCTGGAGGGCCGGTGTCCTGCAGAGTTTAGTTCCAACTTGCCTCAACACACCTGCTGGTAAGTTTCTAGTATGCCTATAAGAGCTTGATTAGCTGGTTCAGGTGTGTTTAATTGGGGTTGGAGCTAAACTCTGCAGGACACCGGCCCTCCAGGACCGAGTTTGGGCACCCCTGGCTTAGAGTATCCACAGTTGTTTAATCTGTTAGTGTGTCATGTTTACAGTCTTCTGTTTTATTCCTGAAAGGTTCTGATGCTCCAATCCACTTGGCTACTTCTTGCCATCGGAGCAGCACGGCTTCCTCCAAACAGATGGAAGAACCTCAGAAGGAACCTTCAGGAAACTTTAGTGAGCATATGGTTGGTTTAAAAAAAAGAAATGAGTTGCAATTACTTGTTCAGGTTAATATTAGAAAACGAATGACTTGTTTTGCAGAAGCAAACACAAAAAGAAGTAAGAAAGGAGAAGGGAGCTAAGAAAAAGAGAGAATATGTGCCACAGAAGAGGTCTGGAGGTTATGCTGTACTGCTCACTTTGTATAGACACACACAGGTAAAACAAGCATTTATTTTCATCTTACTTTACTTTTTTTTTTAAGCTAAGGCTGCTAAAAAGGCAGGCACTAATGCACTCTATAAAATGTAAGTGTATTATTTATTTCTAGATGCCTGGCAGTAAAGGCTTTATGTTTAGGAATGAACTGCAAACTGAGGCACAACCCTTGTGTGAGAAGTCCTTCACAGTGGTAAGGCAAACCAAAACACACAAAAGTCTTGCAGAACTGCTCACTATAACCGCTGCTTGTACCCTAACTATGCTGTTTTCCTCTACACATAGCCTGATCTTGGTAGCAAGTACACTGCATGGTCATCAGTTAGCACACTCATTCAGAAAGTTCTTCTGGTGAAGACGCACAATCCTGCCAGGTGAGATCGAAACTGCAATCACTGCCCTGGATTTCTGCTTTAGCTTGAGTTCAGTTGCTCTTCATCTTTCTCTGTTTTATTTCAGGTATTCATTGACTGATCAGGGTCTGGCTCTAGCCGAGAAGCTGGATTCAGAAGAGACGGGGATGGCTAAAGAACATGTGGAGCAAATGAGTGAAGAAGAGGACACTCGGGATGGACCAGATGTTGCAGACCTGACTTTAGAGGAGGAGGATGAGGAGGACCAGGAAGAGAAAGAGAGTTGGTGAGTAGAAGCAGGTTGGCTTTTGCATAAGTGCAATGACATGTCTAAAATGTTTTGCATGTTGGGAGGGTATGGAGCAGCACCGTAGTGGCATATTAACTGTATCAGCTTTAATCCTTCTACTGTACGGACGTAAATGTACTTTCCCTTCAGCCTGAGGCTTATTCATTTCACCTTTGGTGTGAAAAGGCTTTTATATTTGCCAAAAATATAACTTTTTTTATTTTAAAATCAAACAAGCAAGCCCTGTCCAGATTTAAAAAGTAATGCAAAAGTAACGTAACGCATTACTTTCCATAAAAAGTAACTAAGTAACATAATTAGTTACTTTTTTATGGAGTAACGCAATATTGTAATGCATTACTTTTAAAAGTAACTTTCCCCAACACTGCTTATGACATTGTGTTGTGTGTCGACTTCATCGAAACAACAGGGTAAAGTGGAAAAAGATTATATGTGTGGTACAATTTTACTTTTAATAATAACAATCGAATTTCATTTTAAGTTCTTCTAATGCATAGTATTTTATAAAACTGAAAATAGTTTGGAGAACTTTATTATTCAGTTGTATTTTGAACTCAACAGGGGAAGCAGCGGTCGCAAACAAGAATTGGTTAAGGAATTACAAAGGAATGGTGTGACCTTTGATGTCAGGAAACTGAATGTGGGCGACTTCCTTTGGGTGGCACCTGAGAAAGTGACACCTGTTCCCGGTAAGTCGATTAGCAATTTTTCCCGTTTTACTGAGATGCCAGTCTAGTTACTAACCAGCAGATGGCAGTGTTGCTCTTAGAAAAAATGGGTTTTTAAAACAATTTACTTCGGACAAATTTGTAAGTTGTTGTAAACCTTTGGGAGTTCAAGACCCCTCATTTGTCCGAGACAATGTTGGAAGGCCCTTCTAACTCAGCTGTTATGTACTTCTGTTATAATAAAAGCAAATAATCTAAAACTGATGTCATATCATATCAGTTTAATATTGTACATCTTTATTTTTTATTTGTTTTTGGGTTTTTTACATTTTAAATGCTAAATTATGTCAACATATCATATTTAACATATTAATATAAAGATTTAAATAAATAGTTCTTCCCAAAAATTAAAATTAGCTAAAAACCTCACCCTCAGGCCATCCAAGATGAGTTTGTTTCTTCATTGGAACAAATTGGATTTTTGTGATGTTTATATCAGCTGTTCGGACTCTTATTCTGACAGCACCAGTTCACTGCAGAGCATCCATTGGAGAACAAGTGATGTAATGCTACATTTCTCCAAATCTGTTCTGATGATGAGTTGAACTCATTTACATCTTAGAAGGCCAAGGGTGGTTACATTTTCAGCCAATTTTCATTTGTGGTTGAACTATTCCTTTAAATAATTTTTAGACTTATTGGTGCTCCCTGGAAGATTGCAGAGGCCTCATAGTTTAGAACCACCGTTTTAATAGATTACATTTTTTTAATTATAAATACTTCTGTTAAGCAAATAATCTAAAACTGATGTCATAACATATCAGTTTAATATTGTACATCTTTATTTTTTATTTGTTTTTGGGTTTTTTTACATTTTAAATGCTAAATTATGTCAACATATCATATTTAACATATTAATATAAAGATTTAAATAAATAGTTCTTCCCAAAAATTAAAATTAGCTAAAAACCTCACCCTCAGGCCATCCAAGATGAGTTTGTTTCTTCATTGGAACAAATTGGATTTTTGTGATGTTTATATCAGCTGTTCGGACTCTTATTCTGACAGCACCAGTTCACTGCAGAGCATCCATTGGAGAACAAGTGATGTAATGCTACATTTCTCCAAATCTGTTCTGATGATGAGTTGAACTCATTTACATCTTAGAAGGCCAAGGGTGGTTACATTTTCAGCCAATTTTCATTTGTGGTTGAACTATTCCTTTAAATAATTTTTAGACTTATTGGTGCTCCCTGGAAGATTGCAGAGGCCTCATAGTTTAGAACCACCGTTTTAATAGATTACATTTTTTTAATTATAAAGGTTCCACGTGTACAAATTCCAAATAAAAACTGTGTCCTCCTCCAGGGCAGCTGCGTCCACCTGTGGGAATAGAGCTGGTGCTTGATTACATAACTGAAAGGAAGAGGATGGATGATCTGTGTGGAAGCATCATAGATGGACGCTTCAGAGAGCAGAAGGTTTGAACCATGACACACACAAAAAAGTTGAATGCCATTTTTCAATTGCCATTTATCTGCTTTCTAAATATAATAAAAAGATTTGTGACTTCATTTGTGGTTTATTATTTTACCGTTTATTTTCTTCGGTCGCATTCTCGTCCTTAGTTTCGACTGAAGAGGTGTGGTCTGCGTAAGCCCATTTATCTAGTGGAGGAGTGTGGACCAGTGGCGGCTCATCTCAGTATACCTGAGAGTACATTGCAACAGGCTATAGTCAATACACAGGTATAGAGCAGGCCATAAAGAAGACCATCATTCAGTAATGGATGACGATGATGATGTGATTGTATAAGTTTGTAATTTGCAGGTGGTTGATGGCTTCTTTGTGAAGCACGTACAGGATGTGAAAGAGTCTGCTGCTTACCTCACCATCATGACCAGATACCTCCAGAAACTCTACCAGGTTTGTTTCAAAGCCAAATCAGTGCAGTATGTGTAAATCACATTTTCCCTATTATATTCTAGTATTCCCTAATTTATGTCGGGATTTTCTTTGTGCTTTATTTCCATTGAGACTTTCTGGCTTTTTTTTAATCCTCAGAATTGCACATTATTCTGTCGCTCCAGAGAACTGGTGGATGATGGAGAAGATAAGAGTGAGCAAATGGCAAACCTGTCCTGTTCTCTCATGGCCTTCACAGAATTGAAGTATGGGGCTATTAAGAACAAGGTCATGTCAACAAATCAGTGAACATTGTAGAAAGTTGGTTTGCACTGATATCAAAATAATGCCCAATGTGATTTGCTGATAACATGAAAATAATTATTGCTGATATGATAAATGGCAACATTTAAAAATCTGTACTAAAATAAAAATATAACATTAAAACCTAAAACTGGGATTGTGATGCGTAAGTGAATTTAGACATCATCACAATATTATATTGTACAGTATGGTTGGATATTCGTTTTGGATATTCAAGTGCCTTAAAAATAGCCTTTCTTGAAATAGTGCTATTTCATTTTTTTTTTGCTTTTTTTTTTTTTGTTGTATTTTAGACTTAAAGAGATGCTGCTAGATGACAGGAAAAATAATCTAAAAGTGGGTGGAACTGAGTGCCCGCAATTAAATATCCAGTATCAACTAATACTGATAAGATAAAATATATATATATATATATATATATAAATTAGTGCTGTCAAACGATTAATCGCATCCAAAATAAGTTTTTGTTCACATATGTGTGTAGTGTGTATATTTATTATGCATACAGTATATAAATACACACACATACAGTATATATTTTGAAAATATTTACCTGCCAAGGAATTTATTTGGACAGCTTTAAAGGTGATTTTCTCAATATTTTGATTGTTTTGCACCCTCAGATTCCAGCTTATTTGTTCAGCTTTCAGATGATGTATAAATCTCAATTTCGAAAAATTGACCCT